GACCCTTCCAGAGCTGAGATATCGAAACTCAAAAATTCGACCCAAAAAAAAAACGACAGTGGTACCCTTTCGTTTTTTTTTTTTTCGGGCGAAAAATGAAGTTTCTCCAATCTTCTCAAAACTCTGGATTCTGATAGAGGGCCATGAGACTTAAACCTGAGGGCAAAAATGGAGGCTCTAGACCCTTCCAGAGCTGAGATATCGAAACTCAAAAATTCTATCCCCAAAAAAAAACGACAGTGGTACCCCTTTCGTTTTTTGTTTTTTTTTGGGTGAAAAATGAAGTTTCTCCAATCTTCTCAAAACTCTGGATTCTGATAGAGGGCCATGAGATTTAAACCTGAGTGCAAAAATGGAGGCTCTAGACCAGAGGTCTCAAACTTGCGGCCAGCAGGGTGATATTTTGTGGCCCCCCACTTGACATTAAAGTTTAATATGAGTGCGGCCCGCCGTTGCGTTTGCCGCGTTTTTTTTCCCACCCTTATGGGCTACAAACATTAGGCTGCTTCATTAAAAACGTGACATTTAGACGTTTTCTTCGGCATGGATCCATGCAAATGAATCATTTTCACCTTGAAAATAATAAATGTTTTTTTTTTTTTGCATTTTAAATAATAGAACATTTCTCAGTGATCGTCAATAAAAGAAAATTCAATTTTCTCGGTTTAATGAAAACCAATAGGTCGTGATGGTAAGTTGTTTCACGTTTGAGGGGGTTTAAACCGTGACACGTTTTCAAAAGTGGACCAACGTGATTATTTCACGTCTTGTCACGATACCGGGTTGAAGAAAAATTGTTTAGGCCACCTTGTTTGATATAATCACAACAATTTAACGCAAGTATGGGAATTGAACTCAGGTCTTCTTGATTAAAGCCCAACGCTTTATCAACTGAGCCACTGCATCCATTGAGTGCAAGTGTGTATTGGAAGGGGTATTATTGCAGGTTTGGCTTTATTTGTTGGAAAAATAAATATAGAAATATAATTTGACACAAGAGGGCAGTATAGCCCTGTTTATGGTTTTAAGTTTAAACTAAACCGTGACATCTACACGTTTTCCAAAGTGGACCAACGTGATTATTTCACGTCTTGTCACGATACCGGGTTGAAGAAATATTGTTTAGGCCACTTTGTTTGATAAAATCACAACAATTTAACGCAAATATGGGAATTGAACTCAGGTCTTCTTGATTAAAGCCCAACGCTTTATCAACTGAGCCACTGCATCTGTTGAGTACAAGTGTGTATTGGAAGGGGTTTTATTGCAGGTTTGGCTTTATTTGTTGGAAAATAAATATAGAAATATAATTTGACACAAGAGGGCAGTATAGCCCTGTTTATGGTTTTAAGTTTAAACTAAACCGTGACATCTACACGTTTTCCAAAGTGGACCAACGTGATTATTTCACGTCTTGTCACGATACCGGGTTGAAGAAATATTGTTTAGGCCACTTTGTTTGATATAATCACAACAATTTAACGCAAGTATGGGAATTGAACTCAGGTCTTCTTGATTAAAGCCCAACGCTTAATCAACTGAGCCACTGCATCTATTGAGTACAAGTGTGTATTGGAAGGGGTTTTATTGCAGGTTTGGCTTTATTTGTTGGAAAAATAAATATAGAAATATAATTTGACACAAGAGGGCAGTATAGCCCTGTTTATGGTTTTAAGTTTAAACTAAACCGTGACATCTACACGTTTTCCAAAGTGGACCAACGTGATTATTTCACGTCTTGTCACGATACCGGGTTGAAGAAATATTGTTTAGGCCACTTTGTTTGATATAATCACAACAATTTAACGCAAGTATGGGAATTGAACTCAGGTCTTCTTGATTAAAGCCCAACGCTTTATCAACTGAGCCACTGCATCTGTTGAGTACAAGTGTGTATTGGAAGGGGTTTTATTGCAGGTTTGGCTTTATGTGTTGGAAAAATAAATATAGAAATATAATTTGACACAAGAGGGCAGTATAGCCCTGTTTATGGTTTTAAGTTTAAACTAAACCGTGACATCTACACATTTTCCAAAGTGGACCATCGTGATTATTTCACGTCTTGTCGTGATACGGGTTGGACACTGAAGTTACAGGAGTTTCTTCCCGTTGCTAAGCAATGGAACTAGGTCGAGTATTTAAGTCTAGACCCTTCCAGAGCTGAGATATCGAATCTAAAAATTTCGACCCGAAAAAAAAAAAACGACAGTGGTACCCCTTTCATTTTTTTTTTCGGGCGAAAAATGAAGTTTCTCCAATCTTCTCAAAACTCTGGATTCTGATAGAGGGCCATGAGATTTAAACCTTAGTGCAAAAATGGAGGCTCTAGACCCTTCCAGAGCTGAGATATCGAAACTCAAAAATTCGACCCCAAAAAAAAAAACCGACAGTGGTACCCCTTTCGTTTTTTTTTTTGGGCGAAAAATTAAGTTTCTCCAATCTTCTCAAAACTCTGGATTCTGATAGAGGGCCATGAGACTTAAACCTGAGTGCAAAAATGGAGGCTCTAGACCCTTCCAGAGCTGAGATATCGAAACTCAAAAATTCGACCCAAAAAAAAAAACGACAGTGGTACCCCTTTCTTTTTTTTTTCGGGCGAAAAATGAAGTTTCTCCAATCTTCTCAAAACTCTGGTTTCTGATAGAGGGTCATGAGACTTAAACCTGAGTGCAAAAATGGAGGCTCTAGACCCTTCCAGAGCTGAGATATCGAAACTCAAAAATTCGACCCAAAAAAAAAAAACGACAGTGGTACCCCTTTCGTTTTTTTTTTTTTCGGGCGAAAAATTAAGTTTCTCCAATCTTCTCAAAACTCTGGATTCTGATAGAGGGCCATGAGACTTAAACCTGAGTGCAAAAATGGAGGCTCTAGACCCTTCCAGAGCTCAGATATCGAAACTCAAAATTTCGACCTGAAAAAAAAAAAAACGACAGTGGTACCCCTTTAGTTTTTTTTTTTTCGGGCGAAAAATGACGTTTCTCCAATCTTCTCAAAACTTTGGATTCTGATAGAGGGCCATGAGATTTAAACCTGAGTGCAAAAATGGAGGCTCTAGACCCTTCCAGAGCTGAGATATCGAAACTCAAAAATTCGACCCAAAAAAAAAACGACAGTGGTACCCCTTTCGTTTTTTTTTTCGGGTGAAAAATGAAGTTTCTCCAATCTTCTCAAAACTCTGGATTCTGATAGAGGGCCATGAGATTTAAACCTGAGTGCAAAAATGGAGGCTCTAGACCCTTCCAGAGCTGAGATATCGAAACTCAAAAATTCGACCCAAAAAAAAAAAAACGACAGTGGTACCCCTTTCGGTTTTTTTTTCGGGCGAAAAATGAAGTTTCTCCAATCTTCTCAAAACTCTGGATTCTGATAGAGGGCCATGAGACTTAAACCTGAGTGTAAAAATGGAGGCTCTAGACCCTTCCAGAGCTGAGATATCGAAACTCAAAAATTCGACCCAAAAAAAAAACGACAGTGGTACCCCTTTCGTTTTTTTTTTTCGGGCGAAAAATTAAGTTTCTCCAATCTTCTCAAAACTCTGGATTCTGATAGAGGGCCATGAGATTTAAACCTGAGTGCAAAAATGGAGGCTCTAGACCCTTCCAGAGCTGAGATATCGAAACTCAAAAATTCGACCCCAAAAAAAAAAAAACGACAGTGGTACCCCTTACGTTTTGTTTTTTTTTCGGGTGAAAAATTACGTTTCTCCAATCTTCTCAAAACTCTGGATTCTGACAGAGTGCCATGAGACTTAGACTTGAGTGCAAAAATGGAGGCTCTAGACCAGAGGTCCAGCACTTGCGGCCAGCGGGGTGATATTTTGTGGCCCCCCACTTGACATTAAAGTTTAATATGAGTGTGGCCCGCCGTTGCGTTTGCCGCGTTCCCCCCCCCCCCCCCTTATGGGCTACCAGATAGCCTCGTGACAGCTTACGATGGGTTTGTTGCAAGTTGCCATAGACAACCACGAAGTATGAACATATACTGCGCCCGGAAAAAAATGAGCGCGTCGCTTCAATTATGAGCGCGCTTGATGCGCGCATACATTTGAAACAAACTTGAGCGTGCCACCGAATCAGGCCACAGCTACTGTTAGCTCGCGAGCGGCGTGTTGGATATCCCTGCTCTAAAACAATGTGAGAATAATAATTTTGAGCTTGTAATATGTGTTGGGTCTGAAAGCGTTCAATGAACGATAGTTCATGAACTTGTTCATATTTTGGGCGAACGTGAACTGAACGTAGCCTACTGTATCACTGCCTGATGAACGTTACAGTGAACTCGTTCATTCTAGTGCCTGTGAACCGAGGAGCGAGGAGGCGTCTTAAGATCATTTAAAAGGGTTTTATGAGGTCGGTGAGGATGGGAAAATCTTACATGTCTGTTCAAACTCTGCCCGTCGACAAAAGAATTATTATCTGCGGTTGTATATGGGCTGTGGCAATAATAATAGCCTACTAATAAAAAAGAAGCTCCAGGCAACATATGGAAAAAAAGAAATATGAACTAGTTAATTTTTTGAAGTATGAAATATGAACTGAACTAGTTCATTTTAAAATTTGTGAACTGAACTTTGATCCAACAGGTTGATAAGAAGGTTTGCTTTGATATGTGCAAAGTCAGTAATTTGCCTGAGACACTATACATGTGTAGAAAGAATTATTTGTATTTCAAAGGCAATAATTGTTTTTCTAAGTATAATAAAAAAAATGCCTTCCGAAAAAAGAAAAAAAACATTCAATATAATAGTGTTGTATAAAGAAAATAAAAAGCAAATATGACTATCACAAAGATGTTGTGTATAAGAAAAAGACAAAGAACGTTTGTAAAATTAACTTCACGGTTCATGAAGAACCAATCATGTACAGAAAGGAATGATCAAATTCAGAGGAACAGTTCAGAAGAAACGTTAATAATAAAGATTGAGAAGAATGTAACAGTTGTGCTCCATTTTTGGAATACTTAAATACATTTTTTTTTTTTTGGAATACTTGATGCGGCCCGGCCTGACCCAGACTCTATCTCCAGCGGCCCCCAGTTAATTTGAGTTTGAGACCCCTGCCCTAGTGTCTCTAATTCTGTGATCTCTTTTTGTGGGAGTTTCCATGTTTGTGATTATGTTTTTATTTAACATTGATTCATCTTTTAGATGACACATACAAATGTGTCTGGAGCGGAAAAGAAAATGGCTTCTCAGTGGGCTCGTGCAAACAGTGCAGAGAAGGAGGTGCCCCACACTCGCATTGAGGATGAATCCAGTATACAGGTAGAGCCTTTTTTGAAAAACTTTTTTTGAAATTTTTACTCGCACCCCAATTAAACACTCCTGAACCAGATAATCAAGGTCTTCAGGATGACTAGAAACTTCCAGGCGTGTGTTTTTGAGCGGGTTGGAGCTACACTTGGTGAGCAAGACAGTGGCTCTCCGGGAGCAGAGTTTGACACGCGTGATCTAGATGCAGTGCATGATTATTTCTAACACACAATCCCAAACAAATTTTTGTTCTTGCTGTGCTGAAATCTTTTCAGCCACCACAAATCTGTGATTTTATATCAGTGGCAAAACTACATTTCTATCTTACACCGGAACCATGGCCTTGCTCGCCATGGTCTGATCTCCCTCCAATCTGGTAGTGCCCTCATCAGGCCTGGAGGGAAATTACACCTCTTTATGCTGTTGATTGCCCTCGCCCTCTCAGGAGGTTTCCGACTGCTGTCTTTGCCAAATCCGCAGCAGGCAGTGCTCAGCCTTGCATGCGCAGAGATAATGATCAAGTTAATTAGACCTGAGATTGAATGAACTGCGGCAGCAACTTAATCATTTGTAACTTGATTAGAAATACTATATTCTCCCAAACTCCAGAGACTGGCAAACTTGAAAATTAAGTTCCACTTTAAGGATTCAGGTCTCAACTTAATGGAGTATAGAGAAGCTGAAAAACAAACCAACCCTCATTCTGTCCCCATTAGTCAGAGCTGGAGCATTGTTTACTGTCACTATACGAGAAGGAGTGTGTATGTAATATTTTACCTACTGAAGCCCTCTTTATTTGGATACCTAGAAAATCTATTCCTTTGGGAGGAAATTAGGTCAAGGCAACTTTGGCGTCGTTTGCGAAGCCACTCACATTGAGACGCAGACGAAGTGGGCAATTAAGAGGGTGAACAAAGAGAAGGTAAGTGTTTGGTCATTATGTTTCACCTGTTGACAGAGGTAATGGATGGAGAGCTTCTTACATGGTTGTCAAGGATGGGTTAAGTGTCACAAATGCTTTTTATCCATGCAGGCAGGCACTTCTGGTGTGAAACATCTGGAAAGAGAAGTCAGCATCATGAAACAAGTGAAACATGAACATATAATACATCTGGAGGAAGTCTTTGAGACACTAAAGGTAATTTTGTTCTCTTTCCTTTAAAGTTCCGCTCAGCTATGCTGTTGTGATCCACGTCATACTACTGTGTATGCAACTGGATTGTTTTTGACAACGCTTTCTTGTCAGAAAATGTACATATGTATGTTTGTGTGCTGTTCTTCAGAGGATGTACCTCGTGACTGAACTTTGTGAAGGAGGCGATCTAAAGGATCTCCTGCAGAAGAAAAAGCACTTCACCGAGGAGGAGACCAGACACATCATCAAAAGCTTGCTTGAAGCTATTGTATATCTCCACAAAAAAGGTGACACTCACAAAACCCAGCACATTCCTCCTGCCATTCGTCAGCAGATACTTCCCATGTATTGATGCTTCCTTACCCTGGAAACATATCATTAAAATTGTATTAATTTATTTCAGTCGCATTACCTTTAGAGAAATGCGTTAAAAGAAAATGAAAACCCTAACGTTTGAAAAATTGCTCACATCTGTGTCAAGTCATATGCAACGGCCTGGATTCCTTTGTTCCCCCCTATTCGATAATCACTCTGAAGATTGCATCCATATTAAGTTCATCTGTCATTATGGAGTATCAGACTTGTTTTAATAATGAGATAATAATGAACAACTGTCAGACAAAATATCAGCCCATTTTAATTGAGTCTGAGGGGTTTATTAGAAGATGCTCGGTGTTTTTTCTCTTTCTCTCTCCTTCTTGTGAAATCTGCAGTTAGAGGTAATTTAGGACGTTGCTTGGCAATGAGACACCATTACATGGGGCTAATGAGTCATTAACAACGAGCAGGGGAGGAATACTGATTAATAGGTGTGTTTTTCAACAGTCCCCGAGTGCTGGTGTGTTTCACGTCTAGAGGAGCTAATGATGCCACTTGCCATGTGTATATAGGACTGGAGTGTTTTATGAGATTGCAGTATATTAGCCTCACATGCTGATTATAATTTGATTATTTTCACATTTCTATTGAAGTACGTACAGTTAATGTGGGAAGCATTAATGAAGAGTCATGATGCGGATGAAAGTGGGAAGAGGAGGTGGGCCCTGTATGCTGGGTTTACATGAGAACTACATTGTGTGACAATTTAAAAGGGAATGGTGCAAAACATTTAATTTGATTTGGTCTTTAAAGTTTTTTATTACTATATACTATTCAAGTGCGTTGCATTTTTGCCACACTCTCATCTTTATGTATAATACAAACCCATTTCTCCCTTGCTCTGTTTCCTCTTTCTCTCTCTCAGACATTGTACATCGTGACCTCAAACTGGAAAACATTCTTGTGAAGAGTTGTCACCAAGGCAACGATAACGATATGGTCAATATCAAGGTGAGAGAGATGGTTAAAACTTCTGTGCAGGTATGTGGTATGACATTCAAACACGGCGGGACCTCTGGACGTTCTCGTCTGTTGTTTAGTTCTTCCAACGTCCTCCTTGCCCAAACCTTTTAACTGCTTTTTAAATATTGTCTCATTACGCCAGACCTCCTGCCTAACTCCTTTCATATCACATTCTCAAAGAAAATGAATCACAAGTGGCTTTTCTGAGACAAATTGCCAGCCAGGGCACAGCGTGGAGCAGAATAGAGCGTTGATGGGAGCCGACTGAAGCCGCTACCTGGAGCGGAGGGTTGAATCAGGGCAGCGCTGTGTTATAAATCAGAGTAGAACAGGGGCCTAAAGACAGCGCTGTCCTGGCACTGTATTAAAAGCTTTTATCTGGCAGAAGGTGGTCATCTCTCCTGGATATTAATCCTGCCCGCCCCTGACGCACCAATGAAACGATATACACTCCTCATATATATTATTCATATGGCTCAGCAGCTCAAAGTCTGTGTGAGCGCTTGTACCGGCTGCTCTATTGAAGTCAATTTGGGCCGTAAATATTTTAATTGAGATGTAGAAGTGAATGTGAGTGAGATACGGTGATCAATTGTAGCATGTCTGCAGTTCATTGCTTTCGCTTTTCCACTAGCTCAGAATCTAGTGATGAAAGGTGTCAAGGAAAGAAAGAAACTTCGAGTGTGTTTGTGGTTATGTTGAATAACGTTTCATTTTTGATTGCTAAGATTGTGAGTCACATAAAGTCTTGTCTACTCTGGTCTCAGGTCACAGATTTTGGACTCTCTGTGAAGAAGGGTGGTGTGGGCAGTGAAAACATGCTTGAGGCCACTTGTGGGACACCTATGTACATGGGTAATTCACACACGCAAAAGCATACATTCACATTTTATTTTTTAATAATGAGGAATCAGGCTTTAACTTGTGATTTGATAAATTACTATAAATTGAATGAAGGGCTGATTAAAATGAGCAGTAAAGAGAAGATGACCTAATTTAAGTGATGTGAAGCTGATAACATTCGAGAAGGAGTAGACGCATCAGATATCACACATTAATCCGGCCTCAAACATCTTTCATTATTGACACTCTGACTTGCCCTTTCAGCACCTGAGGTGGTTAATGGCCACCAATACAGCCAACAGTGTGACTTGTGGAGCATCGGCGTCATCATGTACATGCTGTGAGAAGATCTCCTTTTGTCGTTTTCCTTCTCTTGCACACACACACAGACTCACATGCAATCAGGCGCTCTGACTTGCACTTTGTGTGTGTTTTTGTGTTTTCAGTTTGTGTGGAGAGCCTCCATTTATATACAGCTCTAAGGAAAGACTTTCTGAGATGATTATGAAAGAGCTCACTTTCTCCGGCCCTGTGTGGAACACCATTAGTGATGCCGGTTAGAACCGCCTCTGCCGTACCATTATGAACGCAGTTCAGCCAGTCTGGTAACTATTTTATATTCCATCTTACAGCCAAAAATGTAATACGGTGTTTGTTGAAAGTTGACCCAGCTCACCGCATCACAGCCAATGAGCTGCTAGATAACCCTTGGATTTCGGTAAGAGAACTCAATTACTCTTTTCTCCTGTTCAAATGAGGTCATGCATATTATAGATTCAGAAGTCAGCTAATTAGCACTCTTCAATTTGATGGATGACTAAATGTGGAACCTGTCAGAAAGAAAAACCTGAAAGAAAGAAAATCTGTATTCAAAGGGGGACACCTCAACCACGGTTACACAGACAAACGTCTTAGTGATGATGCGTCAGGAGATGATGCGTAAGTTACGGAATGCTCCAGTGGACGAAGAGAGTGTGGGAATAAACGAGGCACTGGACAACTTCTCTCTCACTCCTTCTGAGGACAAAGGGTCAGGGCCGAGAACTGCTGAAGAACTCTCAGTATCCCTAGCACATCCTGATGACATCAAAGATAGCAACAGTGGCAGTAAACCCTTTATCCCAAACAAGAAGGTAAAAAAACAGTGTAAAAATTCATTGTAAAACAGGGTATTGTACTTTATAGATGCATTTCTGCATGTTCATGCATTCAAAAATAAAATAAAGTACAACTCTTTTGCTTTTCGAGTATCATGAAAGAAAGCAATCTGGAAGAATCTCAATTCCTCATCACTGCAGTCATAGGGATGCAGTTTCTAAAAATAGAAAAGGCTATGACGCAAATAATACAGTGTATATCACTGCAACCATGTAGAACACGTAGAACTTAACTTAAGAACTTTACTTTTTTAATAAATGTACCTTCATGTATTTAGCAGATGCTATTATACAAAGTGACTTACAAAAGAGGAACATCACATCAATTCATCACAGTCAACTACATTTGTAGTATGCAATGTCACATTTATTATAAAGCTAGAGCAGAGGTAAAATGCAGAGAACAACTGCCTTTAGCTATGACAATATTCACAAGAGAACAAAGCTTCTTGGATTGCTTAAATACTTTTTTTTGTGCCTGATTTGAGCTAAAGAAAATTTATGGTGTAATTTTTTCATGGTTACATATTATTTTATTGCAAACTTGGCAAACAATTTCCTAGAGTTTAGTCTATACTGTACCAATTTAAAGGAGTAGATCATTTAAAAAAAAAAAACTTTTGCTGATAATTTACTCACCCCAATGTCATCCAAGATGTCCACAACTTTCTTTCTTCGGTCGAAAAGAAATGAAGGTTTTTGATAAAAACATTCCAGGATTTTCTCCATGTAATGGACTTCAATGGGAACCAAACGGTTCAAGGTCCAAATGAGAGTTTCAGTGCAGCTTCAATGGCCAAATAAACAACACCAGACGATGAATAAGGGTCTTATCTAGGACCCTTCGGGTCATGACTCGAAAAAAGATTCATTCATTTTGATGCACGAGTTTGAACAGGAGAGTCACAAACACTCATCACAGAACAGAGCAAGGCGAGCATTTGTGCTTATAAAACTTAAACTTTTGTATTTATTTTTGAAATGAGCGATCATCTCGCTAGATAAGACCCTGATTCATCGTCTGGAATCGTTTAAAGCCTTTTGAAGCAGCACTGAAACTCATTTGGACCTTGAACCGTTTGGTTCCCATTGAAGTTCATTATATGGAGAAAAATCCTGGAAGGTTTTCATCAAACACCTTAATTTCTTTTCGACTGAAGAAAGAATGACATGGATATCTTAGATGACATGGGGGTGAGTAAATTATCAGCAAAAGTTTTTTTTTTTTTTTTAAAGTGAACTACTCCTTTAAGTACTGTAGGAGTTGCACTTGCATGATCAGAAATACTAATATAGCTGCCATGTGGACTGACTTGCTTGAAATACTTTAAAGCTCTAGCAAACTCTGTCTTCTGTCTAGTGGTTTTTCATGTGTAATATATTTCATTCCAATAGCCTCTGAAGAAAAAACTATCAGCCTCATCCTCTAATGGTGTTAAGAAGTGTGTGTCTAGTGCAAAGGCCTGCAACACTCCTAATACATCCACTGCACAGGTCAGTAATTCACTTCACTGAGCAAATATAAAATATTTGTGCTTAGTCAAAGAGGAATATTTAGTCTCTTTCAATGTATTTGACAGAAATCCTGGCTATTTCATGGCTAACCTCCATGGTCGCATTTAAAAAACAAAACAATTCGCCTGTTCTCTAAACGGGCACTAGATGGTGCCAAGATAACCCTTCTCCGGCAGCTGTCATACAGCATGCAGCACTGTCCGGTAGTGTGGTTTGTTGCGCTTTTGTGAGATGAATGAGAGTGTCTTATCTCCGCAGTCCCACACAGGTAACAAACCCCCTGCTCAGCCAAGCACAAAAAGCTACAGCAAGGCCTCCTCCATCTCGGGATCCTGTCTCAAAACATCATCGGTAGAAGCACCCGCTGCAGCATCCAACTCAAGCAGGCGCGAAATCTTGTCCCCACGTCCCTCCACCTCTTCTATCCACCGTTCCACCAATCCAGCTGTTGGTTTCCGGGCTAAAAAACGCAGCTAGACATCACAGTTTCAACCAGTGCCAAAGATGAGGAATTCCTGGGGGTCACTGCGACGTGGTAGGCCCACTGGATACACAAATGACTTTTTAAGCCAAAACAATGAATCAAAAGTAAAATTGTACTTCCTCCAATGTGAATGTGTTTTTAGTCTCCTTAATAGGATGTATGTTATTGGATATTTTGTTAGAGGATGAGCCGCTAGGTTGTTGATGCTTTATTTTTATGGACCTGGAACAGATGAAGTCATCGCTACAAGAGCCCTGCATGGCACGAGATCGATTTGCCTGTTCATGGCATCTAATGTAAGGTGCATAAGTCGTCTTGAAGCACTTTGAAATGCTATTAGGGACTAAATTATCTATAGAGAATAAAGGAAGTTTAGGACTGTGAAGAATATAACAGGGTTTAATAGCTTTAGCTCTGTTAAATAGGCAATAACAGAGTAATTTGATGCAATATTCAAGCAGCAAATGCCACAATAGTAACAGCTATCTTGATGGACTTCAGGTTTTCTCTCGATTCATTTTTACAAAGGCCTGCTGTTTCCTCCGCAGTTGTGTTGATCACACTGGTCATCATTTGCCAAATCACATCAGGAAGCTGTTGTATATTGTTATCCATTAAAATGAAACCTTCCAACAGTAACTATTGTTGCATTTTTATCCTAATTTTCAGTGACTCGCGCACACATACTGTATGAATTTTTCCGACCGGCATTAGATGTGCTTGCATCACAAATAAATAAGTCATTTTAATGTTAGCCATGTGATATGACTGTGAGCGGTGGGGCGCCAAGTGGTTAGACACCATGAAGAGAGCAGGATTGGGAGTCAAAGTGCAGGGTCTCTAATCTTGTTGAGAGCAGCAGGGTATACAGTGAGTACTGCAGCACTCCAGCACTGGTCTCTCTGCTGAAGAGAGAATAATCCCCAAGATAGATGCAATATTAAAATAGTCAAGCAGAACTCACTCAGACTGTATTACAATCCTCCTATTTGCATGTGGATGTGTGCGACGAGTGTCTGTGTTTGTGTTCATGGGAATTCCAGGGACAAGATCGAAGGTTCCATTCATATGACCCTCTTAAATGCATTATTATTTTGCACTCATTTGCTATGTTTTCAATTTGTCCTTTATAGTAAAAGAAGATGTGATGGACTGCGTTAATCAAGGTGCAAAAAGGTATGAAAGGCTTGGGCCTTGTTAAGAATGAGGCCTTGAGTGCTTTGTTGCTTTTGTAAGGTCAGTACATAATTTATGCATCAGTATGTTTATTTTCATTAAAATATTTTTTTTTTTTTACTAAGCACATTCATGAAGTGCCATCCTTGTACTGGAAGATTTAACAGAATGTTGCTATGAAACAAAAATAACAGCTGCGTAAATAACAGCAGACGATCAGGTGTGAGATATTACCCGGATAACAAATGAAGTACTTGATATGAAAATAATCTTCTTTTAGGTCTTGAAAAATAATATTAAACAATATAACTCATTTGGACAAGCACTGGAACGTTTCAGTGTTTGTGTTACTCCACATGGAATTGCAATTCTAATCCAGATTTGGGACTAAATGGCCATATTCTGTTTGAAATATTAGTTATTTAATTCTGTTCAGAAGTTTGGGGTTGGTAAGATATGAATGTCTTTTTTTTCCTTATGCTGAGGCTGATTTTGTTTTTATCAAAAACACAATAATATTGTGAAATATTATTACAATTCAAACTAACTGTTTTCTATGTGAATATAATTTGAATATGTAATTTATTCCTTTGATGGCCAGTCACATGATCCTTCAGAAATCATTTTGATTTGCCGAATTGTTGTTTAGGCTCAGGTGTGCTGGTTAAAATGTTTGCGAAAAAAAACTTTTCAACAGCATTAACTTATTGTTTATAGAACTGTATTAAACCAATATCACACTTGCAATCTAACGGTCTTTGTGTAGCCTACTTTTAGCCAAACAGCCTTTGTATTTAGTACATTAGAATAATTTTGTTTGTGATGTTGTTATAAATTAATATGAAGTAACTGATATTTCAGACACAATTCGACCAGCTTTTTCTTAAAAACAAAAACAAAAAAAGCGGGATAGTAGCAATCACAAACTGCTTGATGCAAACAGTGAAACAGTCCAGTTCCAGATATCATCACTTTTGGCTATCGTATAATACAGAACTAAGCTCCGTCTCAGACTTATATAACTCTGAATGTTGTGAGCGGAGAGATACCACTGGATGGAGCTGTAGAAAACATAGAAAACAGAGGCGACTGTTGGGTCACAATATCCCCGTATTGAGTTTCCTGTGTGTCTGGCCATGGTCACTTTTGATAGATTGAGCCATTAAATAATTATAGTGTATGACAGTGTTTATTACCCGTACACAATGAATCATATCCATGATCCGAGCAATAGTACAACAACAAGATGGACTTTGGCTAAACTGATCCATTGATGGCAAAAAAGGGGGGGAAGATAACAATGATTTATATGTTTTAAGAAAATCTGGCTGGGGAGTGAATTTGCATAAGGTCTGTTTAGAGAACCTCCTGTACGGCTAATGCCTTGTCAGTAGCAGGGATGGGATTTCAACATATGGCCCTCATTTTCTTGTGCCAGACTTTTAATTCATTATATCAGACAGTGAGGGAGCGAGAGAGAGAGAGAAATCTTCCAATTGAATTGTGCTGGTGGAATGTGACCTGCAGTAAATTACAGGAGTGCATCTGTAGGCCTCAGGGAGAGAGTGAAAGAGAGCATAAATTTAGTAGAATTAAAAAAAAAAAAAAATGAATGAAAAACTTACTTGGAGTTCTGGCCCTGATATCTTCACATTCCTCTTTGCCAGTACATCCACACTTCAGTTTGTTGTAAAATTGATTTTTTTCTTCTTCTTTTTTTGGGGGGAAATCTTCATCCTGTAAACTTTTCTTCTGAAAAGCTAGTGTGCACGCAGCAGGCAGGGTAGCATGGCAGCTGAGAAAGGGGCGTTTGTTTGGGACAAGCTGTAGAGGCACAGAAAATTAGAAAGGCGGCCAGTTGGAACAAGGTGCTTGCCTTCCTCCTCCTCTGCAGTAGTGTAGCCTGACAGATGGGCACCGGGGAGGAGGAGAGGGAGAATTAAAAATTGGTCGCCTCCATTAGATCCTGGAGTCAGAGGCACAGAAGGATGCGGAGATGCGGCCCACTGTGTGACTCCAGGAGTTTGCAGGTGTGCAGGAGATGCTAATGTCACTTGAGGTTGAGGAATAGAGGAAGAAGGGATTGGAAGTGCCCCCCTCCGGTCTCCCACCCACACCGCACCCAGCATCTCCTCGTACAGGGAGTCGCATCTCAATAGCCTTAATGGCGCTTCTCTTAATTAAGCAGCTCATCTGCAGAGACCTGATACCTGCAGTCAAGTTCCTCCTAATGCACAGCATCCGCACCATGTCGCCCATGACATTGTAGTAATGAGCTAATGCGGCTACAATGTCACACCAACGTTGCGGGGACGTTATCGGTGGGAGCTCATCTCACATGCTGATGTCCCTGATCCCCTTCAATGCAAAGCGTTAGGTGCTGACACAACCACAGACGCGTTTCTTAAGTGGAGTAAACATTCCAAACAGATGGCATTTTCAAAGCAAGCTTCATCAATCTTTGTTGACGCTATCCCTCTTTTTTTAGTTTTTTTTTCAAAACTGCTCTTATTTGGGATATTTGCAATTATAATTCATGAGCTCATTTGAATATCAAATTAATTAGTGAACACACTAGAGTAAATGCTTTTTTTATAAGTCCTTGTTAAAAGTGAAAAGTTCTCAACTACGGTCGGATGGCGTGTTAATTTACAGTGATATCTAATCCCACGTCGCCAGACATAAAAGGCATTACTATACATATTTTAATGGGGAGGTGGTTGTTTTCCAAGCAATTTTCTGCTACAGTACATTCTTAATTTATTCATATTTAATTTATTGGTCTCTGCATACCCACTCAGCAAAACTAATCAACAGCATGTAACAGGCCTCTTAAAGATACAGCGCTTCTTGGCAGGCGGCAGAACGCGAGTTGCCCTCAGCTTCGAGGAGCGGCTCTGAACGCTGAGGACACACGCATGAACTCCCCCAAGGAGACTGTTTGATTCCCACAGACAACCTTTTGATAATTGAAAGCGAGAGAGTGAGAGGAAAAAGGAGTGAAAAATGTGGCTAGCCTTGAATCACCTGAAATATTTCAATTTTGCGGGTGCTGACCATCAGCCCCCGCTGCCAGAATGTCATCCACAGAGGACTGCTTGCCTCCCCCTCCTCTTCCTCATCCCTCGTTCCCTCTCCGCAAACTCCTCTGCCCTTGAATCTGATTCGTTTTTTTTTTCTCTCCCTCTATCACTTGCTGCTTTGGCAATCATTTAACACAGTGTGACTTGAGTTCTTATCACCTGTGTGCACTGTATGCTCCAAATACCTATCGACCCATTGACACAGTGTAAGGAGGGACTTGGGGCAACCTTACACATGGAAATTATTTCAATTAATTACCATTTCCCCGGAGAAGAAGAGGAACGGCGAGACAAAAGGTCCGAAGAATGGGAACATTCTTGTGCCGTGATGTGCGCCATGTGTAATGAGCGCTGTAAAGGTCATTTGACGAGTTTCTGTTGCTATGAATCAATTTCTTTTCGAGTACTTAATTCTTGTTTTGCAGGCATTGTGTGGAGAGGGTGCACTGACCAGAGTTAGGGGGCACTTTGGGCATAATAGCTGAGAGCACCCGCAGGGTTACTGAAGAGGATGGAAAGGGATGCTCTAAAGAAATCAAGCATCAGATCTTCTATCAAATCACTGCTGTCGTCCTTACAGTAATTGGGGCATTTATTAGAGGCCTGTGATAAATCCAGCCCAATTACAAGAGCTACTTCAGAGAAAAACCCAGTCGAAAAGTGTCCTGAGAGGCTATGACCAATCCTTGTGTGGGTGATCAAGTAAGTTGTATTTAAGTATGAAACGCTGAGAAAAAAAATCCCTATTTTTTTAATGCTTTTGAAAGTATTTTCAATGCTCATTTATTTGATCAAATGTATTTTGATTTTGTTTCATTTAATATATTTTAAAATGGGCTTTGTGATTTTGCTGAGATTTTTTCAGCACCATTACTCCAGTCTTCAGTGTTACATGATCCTTCAGAAATCATTTTAATATGCTGATTTGGTGCTCAAGAAACATTTTATTATTATAATTTTGTTTAGTTTATTTTCAGGGTTCATTCAGTGAATATTTTTTTAGACTGATTCAAACTGGTACAGTAACTGAATATAAAAGAACCACCTCATTTGTTTACGAATTGGACTGTTACTTTATACATGCATCCCATGAGGAGCACTGCCAGTGAAAAGCAGGAAACATAATATGTCAGCAGAAAAATGCAAGTTATGCCCAACAACAAGTCTGTTAATTGAATTTGAAAACCTATACGTACATGTGACCTGTGTTGTCCAATTTAGAGACATATGACGGAGTTATTTTTCATTTTCATTATGGAAACTTGCTTTAAAATACAGGCTCTGCTGTGAATTGGATGTATCATGTTGGACAATGACAGTAGAATTCATTGTGACCACTTTGGGACTATTGAGTAAGATTATTCACTGTCCATT